TGTACTTGAGCTCTGTGATAACCACTGAAATAATCAGGTAGACTTGTCTATTCCCCCACTAGACTTTGAACCCTCAAGTAATCAGAGTTACTAATCTTTGTAACCTCCTGTCCCTGCCGCTGTGCCTAGCTCCTGGTAGATGTTGACAAGTATTTGAAGAAAGCTTTAACAATGGAGTAAATGCCTGGTAAGTCGAGGTCTCAAAGTAAATGATAAAATTTACTTGTCTCTCTCTTTCACTTCCCTGGGAAAACTGTATTCTCTCTAGATGTTTCACCTCTCCAGTCACTCGACCATGGATAACAGAACCCAAGGACAGGGCCCGGAGAGTTAGTACAGAGGGTGAGGCACTCGCCAGGAGCAAGACCTGAGCACCACCCCAAAACCAGAAAAAGACAAGACAGAAAGAAAATCCGAGGACAGGACTAGGAGAGGGCTCAAAGGTCTGGAGTGCATTCCTGGCAGGCACAGGGCCCCAGGTTTGACCCTTTCAGCTCCAGCTGAAGCCCTGGTAATCCCCTGCCCCAAACACCAGAAGTAGTAAAAATAATTCAAGATCAAAAGTCACAATTGACAATTATTTTAAGTATGCTTATAAATGTAAGTATACACATTTTTGTTGGTTATGAATTCAGCAAAGTACTAAATTAGCCTCCAGGAGAACAGAATTCTCACGTTGACAAACAAAAACTAGTTGGGAGGTGTCAGTTCCCTGATGGACACTAAATTCACTTGGTGTCATTGGCTAGAGACGGAAGAGAATCAGGAGATCATAGAGAGAGCCCTAATAAGGGCTTCTTTGTCTTCTTTTACTTTCTTCCATTCAAACTGAGACATATTTTTACTTTAGTTAATTTTTTATCTTCTAGTTTCCCCAGACATATAAATAACATGAATTATATATGTATATATGTATTTATATCACTGACACTGTCACTGTCCTCCCGTTGTTCATCGATTTGCTCAAGCGGGCCCAGTAACATCTCTATCGTGAGACGTGTTATTACTGTGTTTGGCATATCGAATATGTCACGGGGAGCTTGCCAGGCTCTGCCGTGCGGGCAAGATACTCTCGGTAGCTTGCTGGGCTCTCCAAGAGGGGCGGAGGAATCGAACTCGGGTGGGCCATGTTGGCTGCATGCAAGGTGAATGCCCTACCCGCTGTGCTATCGCTCCAGCCCAGGTATTTATATATGTATATGTAAATATAAAATGGATATATACCTTTGAGGGGGGACACATCCGGCTGTGCTCAGGACTTATTCCTGGTTCTGCACTCAAGAATCACTCTTGGTGGTTTCTGGGAACCACCATATTTGCCATAAATTGCCAGGGCTCAAACCCAATCAGCCACAAGCAAGGCAAGCAGCCTACCCACTGTACTATCACTCTGGTCCCATGAAATATATTTTAAAGGAGAGAAATTCTTAAATCTGGTGGGTAATGAGTCTAGTGGAGATACAAGAAGTTAAATTGGGTGGAAATGTTAATTCTTAGTATCAGATAAGAATTAGTTATGTGGGGGCTGGAGTGATAGCACAGCAGGTAGGGCATTTGCCTTGCATGTGGCCGACCTGGGTTTGATTCCCAGCATCCCATATGGTCCCCCGAGCACCACCAGGAGTAATTCCTGAGTGCATGAGCCAGGAGTAACCCTTGTGCAACACCGGGTATGACCCAAAAAGAAAAAAAAAATAGTTATGTAAATCACCCACATCTGTTTTTCCAGAACTCTTTGTGAATGTTACAAAGAGACATGAAGCAAGTAATATGAGTACTCTTGATAAGCAATTTTGGTCAATTCCATAACTTCTTGACATGAAATTTTGTTTTCCCAACTGTTTTTGAGGAACTTTTGGGATTTAGAATTGAGTTGTTAATTATTCTCTCACTAAACCGCCCAACTCTTGCATAACTTGATCAAGTCTCTTAACTTAATGACTTTTTAGATAGAAAATGCCAGATACAAGGTCACATCATGAAAGCAGAGTTGAGATAAGGTGAGGACTTCATCACCAATTCACTGCTCCAATGAGGGAGAAAATAAGCGGAACAAGGACTCAGTAATATTCACGCGCAGGTTGGGAACGCAGCTCTGGGGCAGAGCACCTAAGGTAGCATGATGAGACTGGAGCTGCCTCACACTCTCCAAAGATGATGATAATAATTATTATTATTTCACTAACACCTCAGCCACTCTCTATTTTGAGTGCACACTGAAATCACGTGGGGAGCTAAAGTTCCCCAGGTTTTGGGCTGCACCTCCTCCCCAGTTTCTCTCCAAGGCACAGAAATTTTTAAAGCTTCATGGATGGAGCCGAGCGCGATAGTACCGAGGTTAGAGTACCCAGCCTTGCACACATCTGACCTGAGTTCAATCCCCTGTACCCTGAGCTCACCAGGATCCCTGAGCCTAGAGTTAGCCCTGAACATAGTTAGGTGCAGCCAAAAAACTTGAATAAATAAAGCTCCATGGATGACATTAATGTTCAGACCAGTCTGGCCTCTTAAAGTCCTCGCAGAGGATCTACTCTTTTGCCAACTGCAATCATCAAAAGAGTCTGTTTTCTTGCTTCTTTTTTTTCTTTTTTGTCCATTCTTTTAAATTTTACAGAAATCAACACTAAGTGCCTCAGGTCAAGGTGTTGGTGACCTTGGTAACTCCTCTGTTAATACTTTTCCTAATCAACTGAGTAAGCTACTTGTTAAATAGTAAACCAAAAGCTTATGCCTTTCTATTTTTCCACTTTGTTACGTAATTCCTTGCAAAATGTCTCACTTCCTTGGTTGTGAGTAAACATTCTTTTTTTTTTTTTTTTTTTTTTTTTTTTTTTTGCTTCTTGGGTCACACCCAGCAATGCTCAGGGGTTACTCCTGGCTATGTACTCAGGAATCACTCCTGGCAGCGGTGCTCAGGGGACCACATGGGATGCTGGGAATCGAACCTGGGGCGGCCTCATGCAAGGCAAATGCCCTACCTGCTGTGCTGTCACTCCAGCCCGCTAATAGATATTCTTATGTATCACTGTAGCACTGTCCTCCCGTTGTTCATAGATTTGCTCGAGTGGGCCCAGTAACATCTCCATTGTGAGACTTGTTGTTACTGTGTTTGGCATATTGAATACGTCACGGGTAGCTTGCCAGGCTTTGCCGTGCGGGTGAGATACTCTCAGTAGCTGGCTGGGCTCTCCGAGAGGGGTGGAGGAATCGAACTCAGGTTGGCCGGGTCGGCCATGTGCAAGGCAAACACTCTACCCACTGTGCTATCTCTCCAGCCCCAATTATAATGTGTGATAAAGGTAAAATTCAAGATCTGGCTACAATTTGGCCCATGAACATGGTTTTCTGAACCCTATTTTGGTTTGGTTTGGTTTGGTTTGATTTGGTTTGGTTTGGGGGGTGGGGTTTGGCTACAACCTGCAGTGCTCATGAGTTACTCCTTTCTCTGTGCTTGGGGATCACTCATGGCACCCCGCAGGACGAAACTTGGGTCAGGCGCATGCAAGGGAAACACCCCAGACCCCAAAACTCTGTTCTATTTTTTTTTTTTTTGCTTTTTGGGTCACACCTGGCAATGCACAGGGGTTACTCCTGGCTCTGCACTCAGGAGTTACTCCTGGCAGTGCTCAGGGGACCCTATGGGATGCTGGGAATTGAACCTGGGTCAGCCACGTGCAAGGCAAACGCCCTACCCGCTGTGCTATCTCTCCAGCCCCCGTTTGTTCTATTTTAATGGCAAGATTTCAATGTTTTGCCATTATTAAAATTTTGGCTTTTGCTTTCTTTATCATCTCAAAGAATACATTCTTCAAAAATACCTGCTTTGTTTTGGGGATGGTTTTATTTTTTATTAATTCCTATTTTTTTTACATATACCAAGATCATGACACTTTAGAAATCTTATTGATACTGCATTAATTCACGATCACGATCACGACCATCCTGTTATTCGTCGATTGCCTCGAGCAGGCCCCAGTAATGTCTCCTTCATCCTATCCCAGAGATTTTTTAAAAAGTGCCATATTCCAGGCTCTTTCAGGGTTAGGAGAATGAGGTCCATCATTGTTACTGGTATTTGGCATATTGGGTACGCCATGGGGAGTTTGCCAGACTCTGCCATGTGGGCAGGTTACATTCGGTAGCCTGCCAGCTGGGTTTTATAGTCTCTGATATCTCCAAGTCTGCTCAGATCGGGGCTGAGCATCCTCCACCCAGATCCTCCAAATTCCAATAGGCAGGGGTCACACCCACCAACTGGCCCCCTGGCGCCGTGTAATCCCATCAACGGCCAAGACTCAGAGACTATAAAAACCAGCTCCCGGAAGAGAACATCGCAGAGTCTCCTGCCCCCGTGTCTGGCTGTCCTCAACAGGGGCCCCTTGGAGGGAGCGGGTTGAGTTTCCCTCCCCGCCCCGAGCAGGGCTCCGGCAGCCAAAGACCTCCAGAACCAGCCACCACCATGCTGAGACCACTTCCACATGCCTGAAGGTACCGGCAGAGGAACAAAGGCATGTGGGTCCCGGGGCTGAGATCTCCAAGCCTGCTCGGATCGGGGCTGAGCATCCTCCACCCAGATCCTCCAAATTCCAGTAGCAGGGGTCACACTGCATTAATTGCATGTAGAAAATGTTGAACAATATTATCTCATGTTTAATCATTCTTATATCCTATACTTCAATCATCATCTTAAAAAAAAAAAGATATCCAGCTAAAATATTCTGTGCCAAATGCATTATCAGTAATGTCCAATCATATAAATCTCAAACTGATTTTTACATCTGGTGCTAACTAATGAAACCTGTTGTCTTTTCATTTCTTTTTGTGTATGTTTTGGCCACATCTGGAAGTGCACAGGAACTATTCCTCGCTCAGGGTCTGCGGGCGATTCCTGTTAGTGCTGGGGAGACCATCGGTGGTGCCCAGAATTGAATTCCAGCCACTAACTTGTAAACCAGGCACACTTGACCTTTGAACTGTCCCCCTAATTCCCACATACTTACATTTTCTAGGAGGCAAACAGCGGCAGGGTTCCCACGAAATGCTTCTGCTGTGAATGCATCCGCTATGAAAATTGGGAGCTTCATTTTCCCTGCTAGTCGGTTTCTGTGAGCTGTCAAACTTACTGGTGGACTGCTGTACTGCTTTCTTTCATATTGTTGGGGGAAAAAAGATAAAAAGTTAATGTTTAACTTGGTATACAGAAGTAACTAGCAAGCAATTTCCAAGTACCCAATCAGGAAATTGTTCTAACATATCTATGTTTAAAGGTCTATGATCCTCCAATTTTAAAAAAAAAAGCTCTAAATTTACTGTTTTAAAATACTAGATGAACAGAATAATTTCTGTTCAAATTTTGAATTGATATTTCACATGATCACATACACTTAATCAAATGATATTCTCTTCTCTGTGCGCTGTTTGGGGGCCACAGCTGGTCATGCTCAGGAGCTACTTCCAGCTCTGTGCCCAGGGGTCATTCCTGGCAGTACTGGGGGACCATGTGGTGCGTGGGCCTCCGTCAGGCAAAGTATGTGTTCCACTTGTTGAGCTATCTCCCCATTCCTCATAACCGTAATCTTAATTTGAGTAACCAAAACTAGCTTAGACTATCTATGTGTACACACACACACTCACTCTCTCTCCCTCACACACACACTATCTCTCTCACACACACACACTCACTCTCTCTCCCTCACACACACACTATCTCTCTCTCTCTCTCTCTCTCTCTCTCTCTCTCTCTCTCTCTCTCTCTCTCACACACACACACACACACACACACACACGTATGTATATTTGGCAGTGTCAGGAATTAAACCCAGGACCTTACATATGCAAGGCAAATGCTGTCACCAAGATACATGGCTGACCAGGCAATATTTTTGTTTGTTTTCTTGTTTGTTATTTGGGGGCCACTCAAAGATAGGAGTAGTGTGGCTACTCTGATCTTGGTTCTCAGGGGTTCCTACAAACAGAGCTCTAGCCATTTAGCCATCTCCGTGCACAGGGTATGTTTTAAATAAAATGTCCTTGGTGCACATATGTTGTCTACTGTCTCCTAAAAAATACTACTATCCTTCTAAAAGAACTCATTTTGGAGCCAGAATGATAGAGAATGAGAAGGGTATTTGCCTTGCATGAAGCCGACTCAGGTTTGATCCCTGGCACCCCATATGGCCCCCATGCCCTGCCGGGAGTGATCCCTGAGCACAGAGCCAGGAGTAATCCTTGAGCACCACCAGTTGCGGGCCAAAATTAAAAATATTTTTTTAAAAAATCGTTTTGGAGGCCAGGGAAGTAGTATAGTGGGTAAGGCACATTATTTGCCTTTGCACACACCTGGCCTGGTTCGATCCTCAAACCCCCTAAAAACAAACAAACCAACAAACAAAAAAGCTTGAATAAAAAGGGACCCATAACCAAGCAAAGCAGCAATAACATTTTCAGATTTACGCATAGCCTGAGCAGCACGGCATCCTCAGACCCTCACGTTACAACATCATTGGGCTGCAAATGACAGGAGTGGACACTGGGGCCCTGGGGACTCCTTAGGAGCACTCCACCCTCAACAAAATGTATTCCGTGCGGCTGAAAAGATAAAAGAGCGGGTAAGGTGCTTATCTTGTATGCAGACCGCCTGGGTCCAATCCCAGGCACTGGTATGGGCCCTCAAGCCCCACCAGAAGTGATCCCTGAACACAGAGCTAGCAGTAAGCCCTGAGCACAGCCAGGTGTGGCCCCCAAGCAAAACAAACAAAAACAGTAAGAAAAAGTCAAAGTCGGGATTGGAGAGATAGCACAGCGGGTAGGGCGTTTGCCTTGCACGCGGCCGACCCGGGTTCGATTCCCAGGATCCCATATGGTCCCCTGAGCACTGCCAGGAGTAACTCCTGAGTGCAGAGGCAGGAGTAACCCCTGTGCATTGCCAGGTGTGACCCAAAAAGAAAAAAAACAAAGTCAAAGTCTCGGGCCCTCCAGAGGGGGGCACTGAGAGACCTCCCAGGCCCCAGGGACCAGCTCCGGCAGCGAAAACCCCCAACCCAACCACCTCCACGCTCAAGGCCGAGCCTCAGGCATGTGCAACCCTGGTAATGCAGAACTTTGCGACCTTGGACTCTGGGCTCAACAGGACCAGGAGTGGAGATCCTCTGCCCGCTGTCCCCGGGCTCCAGACCCAGGGGTCATTCCCATAAGCCGCCAGCTGCCGGCGCCAGATAATCTCGCCATCGGCCACCGCCAGATCCTGGCTGCTTCCCCGGAAGGGAGTTTAGCAGGAGCCCATCGCCTTGCCCTCGGACCCCGTGCCAGGCTTATGCGCACGGGGCACCCCGGAGGGGAGCCGGTGGGAGCCCTCCCCGCCCCAAGGGACCCAGCCCTGGCAGCCAAGAACCTCCACAACCCAACCACTGCTTCCCACATGCCCAGGCGGAGCCTCACAGATGAGTAAACGTATTCCTGGACCCAGGGCACTGCACATCATAAGCATGATTACCACACCACATTTGATGGGGTTCAGATAGCAGACAACAAATCATAGAGGGAAATATATATATATATATATGCATATCTACATATTTTCAGATGTATCTACCAAAGCTCACATCACCCAAACTTTAACAACATGTTAGTGATATCCTATAGAATGTCTCAATGACATAATGGAACAAAGTGTTTCCTATGTGAACACTTTCTGGTAAGCACGTTCAGCAGTCCTCCAGAATAGATAATATGAAATATATTATTTCAGGTGTTATTTTGGGACAGGGCTTGGGGCTTGGGATGGAAACATTCCCAATTTGGCGGTGGGAAGATGTAATGGTGGTGGGATGGGTGTTTGAATATTAAATGTAATCAAACATTGTGACTAACTTATAAAATTTTAAAAATTAAAAAAAAAACAAAAGGCAAAGTCTCCCCTAAAGTTTCTACAGGGAACAAATGTACATTAGTCACCTCAGGATATCTTTTTTTTTCAAATGCCAACTATAGAGTGGATTAAATGAAACAGAATGGCTTAAATAATAGTATTGTGTTTTATCACAGTTTGAAGGACTGGGAAGTCCAAGATTAACTTTCAGCCTAGTAGCTCCGGGTCTGACCGTTCTCTTCCTGGTGTCAGTGTGGTAGGGAAAATTACCTGTCCTCTGGTCTCTTCTCATGCTGGATGAGTCCTCAGATTAGCAACAGATAAACTGAAAAAAAAATCAGGGCTGGAGTAATAATACAGTGGGAGGGTGCTTGCCTTGCACGCTGCCTCAGGTCCAATCCCCGGCATCCCAGATGGTCCCTCAAGCCCTGCCAGGAGTGATCTCTGAATACAGAGCCAGGAATAAGTCCTGAGCACTGCTAGGTAGGTGTTTCCCACAAAGTTTTTTAAAAAATCAATTTAACAAATATGTACGGGCGGGACAGAGAGATAGTACAGTAGGTAAGGTGCGTACTTTGCATGCAGCTGAACTGAGTTCCCCAGCACCAGTATGGTTCCCCAGGTCATACCAGATGTGACCCCTGAGCATAGGAGTAAATCCTAAGCACAGCCAGATGTTGTTGCCCCAAAACAAAATTAAAGAAGTGTATAGGCAGAACTTGTATAACAACAATAGGAAGCCCTAAGCTATTTGTCCTGTGTTAGGGAATCTTGAATATCATGGAGAAAGGGCACCCAAAGACAGTTCAAAGGACTGAAGTGTATGTTCCACTAGGTGTGGCCCCAGAAAAGGAGAAGGGGAGATCTCACATAACTGAGTAAGGGCTTCATGTAACTACGAAAGCCAAAAAACGAACTTCTCAGTTCGAAAGGGCCTATCAACTAACACCCGAATGATAACTTGGCAGTACTCCAGGGCAACAAACAAGCAGCAAAAACCAAATAACAAAAAAGCTGGGTTGGTTTGGCTTGGTGGCCACACCCAGAAGTGCTCAGGAACCACTCCTGGTGTGGTGCTCCCAGCTGGGGGCTATTCCCAGTGGTGCTCAAGGGACCAAGTATGGTCAGCAAGAAAATCTCAACTCCCATAAGCAAATCCTGCACGCTAGTTTTTGGAGTTCTCTCAGTGGCCCTTAAACTTTATTTTTAATCACCAAATGGAAGTATGAAAATTATCTCACAGGGCAGGAACGATAGCACAGCGGGTAGGGCATTTGCCTTGCACGCAGCCGACCCAGGTTCTATTCCCAGCATCCCAAATAGTCCCCTGAGCACCACCAGGAGTGATTCCTGAGTGCAAAGGCAGGAGTAAGCCCTGAGCATCGCCGGGTGTGACCCAAAAAGCCAAAAAAAAAAAAAATACCCGAAAATCCCAATCTCACAATACAGCTGGTAAATTGCTGTCTTGCACATGGGCGACCTGTGTTCAATACCAGCATTCCATGCCGAAACCCTCCAGGAGTGATCCCTGAGAACAGAGCCACCTAGAAGTCCTAAGCACTTCTAGGTGTGGCCCCAAAACCAAAACTGAACAAACTAGAGAAAATATTCTTGACAGGAAGATAGTACCTAAAAGAGTAATATCCCAAGTGATCTTATTCTCCCCAATACCTTTATCAGAAGTCTGTTAGATAATTTTGGTTTTTTTCCACAGTGCTCAGGATCTGTGTCATGGTCTCACATTAGGCAGGCATGTGCCCTATTCCTAAATCATAGTTTATTTGATTTGTGGGGAGAAGGGGATTAGGGCCACGTCCAGCAAACGTTTAATGCTTTCTGCTGGCTCTGTGCTCAGGATGTCACTCCCGGCAGCTTTGAGAGCGCTTAGACAATTTCCCTGAGTTGTAACCTTGATTCCACTTACCATAAAAATGCAGGGCAATGAGAAGCCTCCCTTGTTCAAATAGCTTTGTCGTTAAGCCTGCCCTGGGTGTGCCTGAAACACTGCTCATTCGTCACTCTCAAATTGTTTTCATTTGTTTACAATCTCCTGTGGCTACAGACAACAGAAAGTTGATTCTTGCTGTTGGCATACAAGAAACCGCGTAGCTTTTCCTAAGATGTTGCCTTAAGACTAGACTATCCATCAACAAATGCCACTTAGTTCTTTGAAATATAAATACTTAATAAGAGAATACAGGCATTGAAAATTTGCTTGAACACGGTATCCTCGCTGTTGAAAAACAAACTGGGTTTAATTCTAATAAAAAAGAAGGAG